CTTCTCCCTCGCGTAAAGAATGTACTTCCTCAACAGATCTTGTGGAATCTCACCCTCCTTGATTGGTGCGTCACCGTCGACTTCCATTTGGTCGTCGCCGTTCTGTGTCGCCTTTGCCTTGTCAGAATATCCGTATGCTGAGTTGACAAGTGGGTGAGCACGGCCGTGAGAGTTCACAACGAATTTGGCCAGACGTTCATCTTCTGCTGGGTCAACAGTGTCGCGTACGACACACAGAATGTCAAATCGAGACAGGATAGGCTCGGTGAGCTCTACGTTCTGCGAGAAAGGAATTGTTGAGTTGTATCGACCACCAATGGGGTTAGCAGCTGCTACGATGGAACAGCGAGCTTGAAGGGTTGTGACGATACCAGCCTTGGAGATGGAGATAGTCTGTTGCTCCATGGCCTCGTGAATGGATGTTCTGTCCTGGTCATTCATCTTATCGAACTCGTCGATCAAACAGGTACCCTTATCGGCAAGCACAAGCGCACCACCCTCAAGCGTCCACTCGCTAGTCATGGGATCACGACGGACGGAAGCAGTAAGACCAACCGCGGAAGCACCCTGACCAGTGGCGAAGACAGCACGATGGGCGGTCTTTTCGACATACTTCAGAATCTGGGACTTGGCAGTACCGGGATCTCCAAGCAACAAGACGTTGATGTCACCACGGATCGAGTGACGACCAGGAGCTTCTTTGCTGACACCGCCAAACAGAGAGAGTGCCACAGCAGTCTTGATGTCAGTGTGTCCGTAGATGCTTGGGGCAATCGAGTTGATGACTTTATCCACAATGCGAGGGTCCTTGGACAGTCGTCGAATCTCCTTCTCATCGTCTTCGGTCAACCGGAAGCCAGCCAGCTGGTCGTGAGACTTGACAACGTAGTTGGCCTCCAAGATAGTTGCAAAGACTGGGAAACCGTTCTTGTTGTTCAAAGCCGCATCGTAGTTGTTACGGTAGATGCCGGTGACTTCAATCTCCTCACCAGGCTTTGCCGAATCGATCAAGTCCCAAAGAAGGATGACCTCCCGATGACGGGGCAAACGTCCTGCCGGTACAGTGCCTGGAGACTCTTGCAGAGTGAGCTTTTGGTAGTTTCGGTACACTGTCCGCTCGGAGTTCACCGTGAAAGGACCGCGTGATTGGCAGTTCTGGCAAAAAGAGATCTTGACCTCAACGTTTGAATCTTGGTGGAAGGGACCCAGAGTGACGCCGCACTTGGTACAGTCAAACTTGACGTATTTGAGTTGAGGGAAGACTCCGCTTCGGCGGGTGACGACTCCACTGACACGAACCAGACTGTTGAGATGCGATTGACGGAGCTGGCGGAGTGTATATTGAACAGGTACGTCGGTGATACGGACGTGGATCTCGGAGTGGATACGCTCGTAGTCTGGGTAGTGGAGGAGAGCGACTTCCATGGCCACCTGGTCGAAGATCTTCAACATCTCGGTGGGCGTGTTGGCCAGCCAGTATGCCAAGGTAGCCTTTTGCTCGGCAAGGTGGTCGAATGAGACTTCCAAGGACTCAGCGTTGACCTCTCCCAAGGTTCGGATGCGGGCTCCGTATACTGAGTGACCGTGCTCGTCGGTGTATTCTGTCAGGAAAGACTTGAACTCGCGCGCGATGGTTCTGGCGACCTGGGGTTGAGCCACCCAATCTGTCAGGGTGTTGGCCTTGACATCGGTGAGTGCCTCCAGCGTCAATTCCTCGTTCATGATATCGTTGTCCATGTCCATGTCGTCTTCTTCGTCATATCGATTTCTCCGAACACGACGACGCCCCATCAGACCTGCCAGGCCATCCGCCTCGTCTTCATCTGGCAGGAAAGCAGCGGGCATGCGGCGTCTTGCCTCTCTGTCCCGGGCATTGAGTCGCGCATCAAGCTCTCGCCTTTGTGCAAGACTGAGCTCTTCATAGTCGCCTTCGTCGTCAATACCCTGGCCTTCGTAGGCATCGTTCTCGCGGGCTCCGTAGTCGTTCTCGAAGTCGTCGGCGAACAAATCAATTCCTTCCGCCTCTTCTGCGTCTTCGTCGAGATCGTCTACGTCGCGAATGATGTCGTCATCGTCGAGCATGTCTGCATCGTCGTCTTGTGGGAGCATAGGTGGTGACGAGGCCATGGCTGTACTTGATTAGCCATTGTTGTGTCGCATGTTTTTGTCGCACTCACGGCTGGACGGCGGATGCGCCGCTGAGGAGGGGAGATCGTCATCGTCCCTTGCGCGTTTGTTGCTCCTGCTGCTAGGGCCTACGCCACGGTTTGCGGACGACATGTTGGAGCGAAGGGGTGGTGGTGGTGAACTAGTGTTCGTCAATATCTTGTTGTTGTGGTAAAGAGGGGCTCGTCGTTGCTCGGCCTACGAGTCTCGTCGAACCTGAGACACATACCTCATGTTCACTTAAAGCACGGTTCTTTACTGGTATCACCGGGATAAAGTAAAGTGATATGGGGCTGCGAAGCGGGGTTGAGGGTGCGTGAGAAGGGGTAGTAAGGGCCAGCGACACGACCGCGTCGCGCTTTCCTTTTCCACGCGTAAAGTGGTGATGCGGTAGCCAATCAGCGATCAGGCGCATCCAGCGCCTTCCTCACTGCTCACACCAAAGTTTCCCACGCACCTCCACGACCGAATTTACTCTGCTAGTATCTCGCATTCTGACGAATTTTGATCTTGTGCTCTACATCGAATTGCTTTCCATCTCGAATTAAGTGGTTGCGCGTTATCGCAATCATGGCGGATTCCCAGTCAACGACCATGTCCGAGAAGCCGCGCACCAGCAGCATATCGCAAGCATCGGAGAGCTCACAAACAGCGGCCGAGTACGTGTCTTCCATGCTCTTGTCTGTATGGAGACTAAATCAATTCCGTCAGCTTTATCAAAGAGCAACTTAGCCTCGAGGCAGAAGCACGCGAGGCTCTCCCCTACGTCAGTACCCACATCCTCCGAATGCGCCTCGACTGACAAGAAACAGCAATTCGATACCTGCACACGCGACCTGGGTCCTCTACGACAGAGCCTTTACGCATGCCTCACCTGCAACCCCGCGCCCGCATCGTCTGCCCAGCAATACACTCCAGCAGGCGTCTGCTACTCATGCTCCATCTCCTGCCATGGCGAACACACCCTTGTTGAGCTTTTCAACAAGCGCAACTTCATATGCGACTGTGGAACTACCAGGATACCGGATATGACGCCATGCACGCTTCGTCTCAACGCAGAAACTGGACGTAAAGGCGATGTGACGGGCGAAGAGCCAGCCAAGACGAACAAGTATAACCAGAACTTCAGGAACAAATTCTGTGGCTGCGGCGAGGACTATGATCCTCAACAAGAGAAGGGCACCATGTTCCAATGTCTCGGACTTGGGACTTGCGAGGAGGGCGGCTGTGGTGAAGACTGGTGGCACCCTGAATGCCTCGTAGGCTTCACTCGGGCGGAGTACAGCAAGATGATCGAGAAGCCCAAAGTGGAAGAGAAGAATGACAAAGTAGATGCGATGGAGACCGACAAGCCCGCAACAGATGACACCAAGACCAACGGGCACGCGGACGAGAATACGGCATCACTTCCAGCGAACATCGCAGCTGCAGTGACAAATGGCAATGGGGTTGATGGCAACGACATTGCAGCAGATGCTGGCGCAGAAGAGGACGACGATCCGCCGCTACCCCCAGGCTTCCCTGAAGAAGACGACTTCGATCACTTCCTCTGCTACAAGTGCGTCGAGGCCAATCCATGGATCAAACAGTACGCTGGCTCAACTGGGTTCCTCGCCCCAGTATACCACGACAAAGCCATGGCGCTTTCTCATGCCCAGAAGTCCCCCGTCTCAGCCCCAGATGACAGCAACGGCGACTCCAAGAAACGCAAAGCTTCCGACGAAGACGAACAGCAGCAGACATCATCCCACCTGACAGCTCCAGTTCCAGCTAAGCGCCAAAAGTCCGAAGATCCAAGCGGCACACTCTCCAACATCCCCGAAGACACAACGACGCTGCCCATAACACCCAAGAAGCCAGAAGCACCAGAAGGCCCAAAGCACGCTTCCCTCTCTCCCCTTCCCGTAGCCGCACTCACAACGCCCTTCTCCCTCTTCCTCAAGCCCGATTTCCGCGACCACCTTTGCCACTGCGACGCCTGCTACCCACACCTAAAAGCCCACCCGCAACTCCTCGAAGAGGAAGACACCTACGAGCCCCCCGTCTCCGAAGACGGCGAAGAAGGTGGCCAGTCCGTCGGCACAGGCAGTATCCTCGACCGTGGCGAAGCAGCCTTCAACAACATGGACCGCGTGCGTGCTATTCAAGGTGCAATGGCGTATGCGCATCTCAAAGACAAGGTCTCGGCGTTCTTGAAGCCGTTCGCCGAGTCTGGTCAGGCTGTTGGTGCAGAGGATGTCAAGGCGTACTTTGAGAAGTTGAGAGGTGATGCGCAGGGTATCCAGGAGGCCGCCGGTGATGCGAAGGCGAACAGGGATGATGATGCGGAGGGTGGGGCTGAGGGCGGTGGCAGGAAGGAACAGAGTGGGTATTAAGTGTAGACTCATCTACTCGAAGTGTTGAAGATGTGAAGACGAGATTTGTGGGAGTACGCATTGCACCCTATGTGCAAATGATCTCCAGCTAGCCTGAAATTGGATATTGCACTTCATCGCAGCCAGTAGCCAAGCTATCTTCATGCTTTCGGACGTTTCGTACGTCTTCTCAAGATTGCCTTCACGATCAAGGTTCTGCTACAAGAAAGCAACTGGTTCAAGTAAAACAAATATAATTCTCAAATCTTGGGTATCAAATTAAAACTACTTCCTCCCCCTTCCATGCAAGCCAGCGCAAGCGACCGCTTCAACATCAAAAGAAACTTTTCACACCTCCCATCCCCATCCCGCACTCTTTAAGCCGTCACAGTTACGGTAGCTGTCTCCGTAACCGTCTCCTTCCCAGTCGGCGACGCAGTAACCGTCACAGTGAATATCTGACTCGGTGGTATCGGCGTGATGATCAGCGGGCCTTCTGATGTCGTTGATGAAGGCACCGGCTCTGGCTGTGGTGGTGCCGATGATGGCATCTCTGTGGGTACTGGCGGTGTGGGCACGGCATCGGATGTGGATGCCGTTGCGGATGCGGAGACTGCTGGAGGTGGCGCGATTGAAGATGAAGATGGTTGTGCTGAAGATTCTGGAAGCGGTGCCATGGATGTGGAAGCTGATGTGGGTTGTGCTGAGCTTGACGGGGCGGGTGACATGCTTGGTGCAACAGAGGGTGACGGGGTGAGTGTAGGCGCAGGAATGTCTGATGTCAAAGATGACAGTGCAGGTTCGCTGGGCGTTGGCTCTGCTACTTCCGAAGACGAACTCGCGAGTACAGAGGATGAGGCTGCTGAGCTGGGTATGACTGGCTCTGGTACAGCGGAAGAAACTGGTATCTCGGGTGCTCCACTTGGCTGTGGTGTGGCTGTCGGCATGACTGTAGTGTATGATGTCACAATCACTACAGGCGGTACCTGGAGGGATGCTGATGGGGATACTTCAGCCGGGGCGTTTGATGGAGCGGGCATGGGAGTGCCAGCCACTTCTGATGTTGGAGAGGCTATTGGAGCAGACTCTTGAGCTTCAGTTGGCATGACTGACTCTTGAGTAGATTTTTGAGGCGGCTGGGATGTCGCGTAGATAGTGGTGTATTGCGTGACGATGATGCGCGATGTTACATCAATGGTGTCTGAAGCAGTCTCTGAAGGGAAGATAGCTGTAGACGATCCGCTCGATACAGGGGCTGGGATTGCCAGAGAAGTTGAGTTGGCCAGAGGGGTGGAAGATGGCGCTTGTATGACCGACTCGATCACAGAAGATAGGCTGGTGATAATCGCACTGGTGGTGGTGTTGACAGAGGGCGAGCCTGAGGGTGCCGCCCCAGGATGAGTGAAGCCAGGTAAGCCGCCAGTGTTAGGTGCTTGGACCGCACTTGTCACCGGTGCAGTTGTGGTAGATGCTAGGACAGCACTTGACGCCGGTACGGTTGGAGTGGCAAGCGAGGTGGACGTCTCTTCTATTGGCGAGTAGGTGAACATAGGAGCCTTTCGACTTGTCTCGCTTGCTGTCTTGTTTTCCACGGCGGCAACCGAACTTGATAATGCCGACGATACTGGCACATCGCTGCTCTCTGTGGGCGTTGGTTTCGGACTTGGTGTGACTGAGGATGTAGCCGCTGCGCTTGAAGTCTCCTCTGTGGTTGGCAGAGGTGATGGTGTGATGTAGGAAGTAGAAAACACAGTCTGCGGATCTTGTGTGACCAGTGGCTTCCCGTCAGGAAGAACGAACGTGATAGCTGGTGCTATTGAAGAGAAGATAGTTTGCTGGATAGGCTCCACTATGATAGCGGTCTCTGCCTCTGCAAGTTGCTGTATTGATGTTGATGCGATTGTCGAAGTAGTGTTGGAATATCTAGGAAAGCTTCATGAAGTCAGTGTTTGTTTCTCAAAGTACTTGCTTGGGTTCCTCACAGTTGTCTTCGGTGGTTCTTTGGAACGGGTCCGGCGGTTATGGATGTAGAGCAAGCTGCCAGCAGCAGAATTGTGGAGAAGATAGCCATCGTCAAGACGACAAATTATTAAGAGTGGATGAAGGAGAAAGACGGCGCTTGCAGGCAGAATAAGGAAGCGATGGACTGAAGGACGAAACTGAGATAGTGAACGATTAAGAGAAACGATCGACAAGGAGAAGAAACAGACGGTAAGGAAAGACACCTAGGAAAGAAACGAAAATCGTTCGTCTCAAGCAAACCACAGGCTAAACGTTCAGATGGCTACGGCGGTGTCTCATTGCTACGCGGGCTGGCATCGGGTTTTGAAGCTGCATTAGCCGCCTTGAGCACAGTTTGAGTATACAATGGAACAAAGAGTAGTACTGGCCCAGCATGGCTCCAGTTGCCTGTAATTTGGGCGTGCCACTCAAGCTCCATAGGAAAGTAGCGCTGGTAACTGGAGGAGTGGCTGTGGTGCTCTGATGCGCTGGGTACATGTTTCATCCTCGGGCCAATGAGATGGCGGCATGGCCTCGTCGAGCCCACGACCTTGAAGCGCCTGGCCGAACGTCTGCTACCCGCGCAGAGCCTCCAGGTCTCCATATGCCAGAAATAACTCTTCGGAAGGAGGCTCGATTCCGCGATCCGAGTTTGTCAAGTGTTGCCGGTTTCCGCGTCTCCATGCAGTATGTGCTGTCTCTCAGCTGTTGAGTGCGTTAAGTGACCGGAACCCTGTGGGGATTTCTCCACAACACCAAGGTCGAGGTCACGATAGAAGGCGACCTAGATGCCTGCAAGCATCAGCTATAGCTATCGACGATATTGTAGTGGATCGAGATGTGTTGGCGGGTTTGCACGTGCCCGATGTTCATTCGTCTGGGCGGGTGAGGGTCGCTCGGGGCAACAGGCGAGTTTCGACAAGGAAGGACAACACAGACCGCCATTTACGCTAGGACAGGCCCTTTGCATGTCGCCAGAGCCTCGAGTCTCGACGTCGCGTACGGTTGGTCTGGCATTCCTTTCTCTGTAGACGTAGAGTTTTTCGTATCTTTTCACCCTATCGCCATCCTCCTTGCCGGTCGTCACCATGAGCGTACGCGTCGTCGCGAGGATACGTCCTCTACTGAAACAGGAGCTCGACAAAGACACCATCGTCACCGCCGAGACATTGGAGGGCGACACCACCCCGGCCGTCGTGCGGATACCGAGTCCGAAGAACGAGGCCGAGTCCTTCAGCTTCCAATTCAGCTCTGTGTACGAGCAGGACGCGACACAGCAGCAGCTTTTCGATGCCGAGAGTGAGTTCGCGACGGACGCGTTTCGGACCTGAATTGACTCCAAACCAGTCGCGCCGACGGTGAAGCACCTGTTCAATGGCTTCGATCTATCTATTTTCGCCCATGGCTGCACCGGCACCGGCAAGACGCATACGATGCGCGGAGGAAAGTCGCTGGCGGACCGCGGTGTCATCCCAAGACTGTTGAGCTCGATATACCGACGGTGCAAGAAGATCGAGAAGGACACGGCTGGTGCCACTCACGTCGAGGTCGCCCTGGAATACTTCGAAATCTACTGTGATCGCGTCTACGATCTGTTCGAACCGCCGGAGAAGCGCACCCCGTCTGGCCTGCCCATCCGAGACAACAAAGGCAAGACTGTCGTCGTTGGTCTTACAGAGAAGCCATGCACAACGCTTAAGGAGTTTGAGCAGCTCTATGACCAAGCCAACATGAACAGGTCAACATCCGCTACTAAGGTGAGGCTTCACACGCGTTAGAGGTAAACATCGCTAATGATACTGCAGCTCAACGCACATTCCTCCCGATCCCATGCCGTTCTCTGCGTGAAGATCACGCAAACTACCGAAGACACGGTTCGCGTCAGCCGAGCATCCTGCATTGATCTTGCAGGATCCGAAGACAACCGACGAACCGAAAACAACAAGGAGCGTCTGGTCGAGAGCTCGGCCATCAACAAGTCGCTATTCGTACTTGCTCAATGCGTAGAAGCTATGAACAAGAAGGCCAGCCGGATCCCGTACCGCGAGTCCAAGATGACGAGAATCTTATCGCTGGGTCAGAATAAGGGCTTAACTGTCATGATTCTGAACCTTGCGCCGACCCGCGCATACCACCTCGACACCATTAGTTCCTTGAACTTCGCTAGCCGGACGAAGAAGATCGAGATCGCAGAGGTGGAGAACGACCCCATGTACAGGACAGCAGTCAAACCATTGGCAATAACTAGTAGTGTTGGCGGAGCAACAATGTCACGGCAACCGCTACGATCCATCGCTGCCGCACACAACGCGAACATCCCGGAGCCAGAGAAGGGGAAGAAAGGAGAAAAGCCTACCAAGGCCTTCTCTGTATACTCCGACGCTCGCAAGGCTGCTGCTGCTGCTCCACGCGTTTCCAATCTTGCACAGAACCAAGGAGTGCGAAGGACTGAGGGTTCTAAGCGAGCAGCTGAACCCAGCAGCACTTTCGCAACGCGACCAACGAAGGCATTCCGAACTGGGGATAACACCTCACGGATACCGAACAGAGAGCCCGCTCTAACCAAGGCTTCGATCGAGGCTCTCATTGCACAGAAGGTGGACGAGAGGCTAGCAGAGAAGGCATTGCAAGATGCCGGCACCGCTGCGCCAGCGCTATCTGCAGAGTTGCAAAAGCGGTTGGATGAGCTGGAACACCGTATCGATGCACACGAGGAGGACGGAAAATCACAGGGCCTACAATTCCTTCTTATGGCGAAGCAACATCACATGCGAGGGGAGGACGCCAGCGCACTTAGAATGTACCACCTGGCCCAGCCCTTCTTCCCCGGCAACGCAAAGCTAGAATCCAAGATGAAGGCCCTCGAAGACCGGATACGCGCAAAGAAGGAAGAAACCACCAAGCACGTCTCCGCCCCCGTAGAGCTACCCTCGCACACCGCCGCCGCAGCACCCCCCTCGAACCTCCTCATGGCCCCCCTCAAAGCCGTCGAAAAGAAACAGTCAAAGCCAAAGATGGTCTACAAAGACGACTCCGAAGACGACGAAGAATTCGCTCCCGCGCCTCCCTCCGACCACGAAGACTCCTACGCCTCCGACACCAGCTTCCAGTACACCAGCAAATCCAAGCCCGCCCGCAAGCCGAAAAAGACGACTAAGAAACTGCCCATCTTCCGCGACGACACTGCCCCGACCACGACCACGACTCTGACTACCACTACCACTGCTGCCGATCTCCCGTCTCACTCCGCCTCTGCCTCTGTCCAACAAACGCCTCGTACCAGCCACCTCCTCAAGATCATCAACTCGCGCGACGTCAACCAGATCAAAGCCTTAAAGGGTGTCGGTGCAAAGAAAGCGGATAACATTGTGAACTGCCTGGTCGAAATGGATGATGCTGAGATTATGGATTTGGAATCGCTGGCTATGCTGAAAGGTGTGGGGGGCAAGACGGTGGATAATATGAGACTGGGGTTGAGCGTTGTTAATACTTCTTATGATTTCTAGAGCTTCGGCTTGACTTTGTCGCTGTTTGCGCTTTTGGAGTTTACATCAAGCATGGTGTTTACGGCGTTTTGGTTGTGGATGCGCGCTCAGTGCGCGCGTAGATCATATTCACATTGCATAGAAAAGGCGTTTTGGGTTCGGCGGCTTAGGCTGTCTTGCATCTTGCATTCTGCATAGGTCAGATCTTAGAAATTCAAGACTATTTCTTCACCACTTTACGGTTGCTTCGCTTTTAGACTTCATTTGACGTGCGAGTGTTCTGCATTATTCGTAATCCCAGTATCATACAAGACCGTGCCTTTCAATCTCAGCCAACAAGAAAGAATCCACAATCACTCACTCAATCCCAACTGCAACGGGAGCATCTAGAAAGGCCAAACCCAGTCCTCCGTCTCCTTAGGATCCATACCCTCATGGTACGCATAGTTCTTCGCCTTGATCTGCTCATCAAGCAGCTTTTCTCTCGTCGCTGCGCCCTTGTTACCCAAGCTGGGGATATTGTCAAGCGCATCAATCGCCAAGCTATAGCGATCAGTGCCGTTCCTGATGGCCAGCTCGAGAGGAGTGTCGATGTTGCCCTTCTCC